CAGGTTGGGGCAAAAGGGTTGGTAGGTCACCTCTCTAATCCTTTATACTGTACGTGAATGTTAGAATTGTACCATATAAGAGGCCGAAATAGTCATTACAAGAAACTGGTTTGAAATGAACGGATAAAAGAGGGTTCAAAAAATGCACCTAAAGCCAACCTTACACCTCGTTGGCATACTAACGTGATTCTTGAAAACGTTTTAAAGGAAGGGATTAATAAAGCCTGCAAGGCGTACTTTGCTGTGTGATCGATTTGAACTTTCGATTGACCGGGAGTTGGGGGGAGTCAAAAAGTGATTCCAAGGGAGAGGTTGCCTGCCATCTGCCAGTGGTATGCATGACCATCCCTGTTAATTTAGTATATCTCTTTCGATTCAAAAGTACTTAAAGAAGCTTAATTACTTTTTTTTAGAGGCCGGAGACGAATTCAAGTGTCAAAAGAGGCAATTTTATGGAACTTTTAACCTGTACAATCATGACATCTGACACGGCCTGTAATTATGCAAATACGCAAAATGGCAGATTATAATCTACTGTTGGTTGCAATCCCAGAAGATACCCGCAAGTCTGAGCCTATAAACCAAAAACATAAGCTTAAAACTTTACTTTGATATGATTTTTGAACCAGATTTAGGCCGCAACTTTTGAGATATTTTGCCTCAAATCTTCCTTACTTTCAAGGTTTCGATCAAGCCTGCAAAATAGGTATTCTTTGAACCACTGTAACTTGAACACGTTTTGATCAAAGATACTTTTATTTAGCCTGTGAACTATCGAAGGTTAACTAAAAAAACTGAATCGAACAGATTTTTTGTGCAGGCATTCGGTTGTTTGCAACGCGCTTTTCAAAATCCATCAATTTTAGTCTTCGAAACACTCTCTGAGAAGCCGAGACGGACTCAATTCGTTTTTGGCTTGTAGCAGAGCTAAGAATAAGAATTTGAAAACAAAAATAGCGATTTTAGTATACACCTACTAAAGCCTCTTCACCGACGAAAAATAAAGCAAAAGTATTTTTTGTCGCGAAATCGAGTGGACCTCTTTTAGGGAGACTGCCTCTAAATATTGTTTTCAAGGAATGGAACAACCTCGTCCCCAGGGCCCTTTTCCTTGATATAGTTCACTTTAAGTTTTATTTTCATTTTTCTTTTAGCCCTTGAAGAAGGTTTGTTTTCAAACCGAAATATTGGGCAATTTGTTTAAATATATATATATATATAGCTAGTTTGTTTTATTCTTTTGTTTACTTCTTTATCGCCTTTCCGTATTCATATTTTTGTCTTTTCCTTGAAAGCCAAGGAAAAGCGCCCTGGGGACGAGGTTGGACATTGAAGTACCTAGTCAGAAGATTCCACACGCTAAGGAGAAACATAAATTACCAAGAGTAGAATAAAAATATTCCAGAGATTCACCTGGTGGTATAGGTAAACTGCATGTCTCCATTCCGAGTTTTTATTCCGTTAAACAATGACAAAATATTAGAAACTTTAAGGTGGCTATAAACCTACCTTGCTGAGTTTTTTATTATTATTATTATTTACTTTCCGATAATAAAAACCTACAGATGTAAATAATCGGAGCTTAACACGGTATTGGAAGGCATCTTGTCGCGTAGACAACCGCGTGAGAAATAACAGTGTTTGTACATATGCATGAGAATCTAATGTCGCATAATTTTCGTAAAACAGCTGTTCCGAATAAAGTAGAAATTGTAAACTAAAGCTACACAGCTAAGGATTCCACTAACAAATTTTGGGCCGTACTTGTGTTCAATTTTTTCCAGTCGCTTGCTTTAGATTTTCCATATATTTGTCTGCAATTTTTCTCGGGAAATTTTTTGTCGCCATGCAGGAAAAACATTATTACAGACAAATGTATAGAAAATTTCAGTGGAATCGATCCTAGCTTATAATTAGGAGTGAAGCTTTAGTTTCAGTACAATTCATAATTTTTCTGAACAGCAATTTTACGGAAATTATTCGACTGTAATTTCTAACTCGGTTGCCTGCCCGTGAAGATGGCTTCCAAAACCGTGATGACGTCTCATATGCTGTTGGCATGGGAACCTATGAGGCCACACTAGTCATCACAGCTTCTTCACTTATATTTGTTCAGAACCATCTTTACAACATCGAATGAGAAAGCAATGCATTATTGATACAGTAAAAAGAAGTGCTAGGCAATGTGACAAACCACTGCGAGCCACCTCATTTGGTTTTACATTCCGCTCTCTGGATTATTTACTTATCTATTTATTTATTTTTGGTACTTGGGAAACGGGTTAACCTGGAACACTCCTATTGAACGTATTACACTAAGTCCAACCCTTAATCATGGATCGTTGAATTTTACATTACCTTCATATCATCAAACCGTCTGATCCCTAACTCAGATACGACATAAAATACTAGGGGTTTCGACCCTGTCAGACTTTGACGCTACACCCTTGCAAGACCTACATATCGGCTTCCTTCTCAAGCTTTACACACGGCATGGATCATTTAAATGTGCATGTTTCACCCCTCAGTTAATTGACTTGTTTGCTACACAGCCGTGGTGTCGTCACGCAACCCCCAAGTTCGTTCCCACACAGCCGTCTTTAGTGTCGGTTTGATAGGCCTACAGGACTCTTACCAGGATAGGTTGGTTCTTTGTAACGTGCATATGTATGACGAATTTCATGTGCCGGATGTGCTCATTCATTGTGTTGCTGTACATGTGAAGACTAAACTCTCAAAGGTACTGATGCAAACAAAACCAATCTTATAAATTATCCATGAGCGATTTCGCGAAGCTATACCTGGCAACTTTATGAGCACATCTATGCTGTGCATCACATTTGCTCGACTTGATTGCTGCTGCAGCTGCTTATCTCATAAATTTTGACTACGACACCCCCACTCTAGTTGATTTCTTGTTTTCACGCGACGATTTTGATTGTTCTGAGTCATATATGGGCACCGATAAAAGCAAAGCTGTGATTGGAGGAATCACCGTGCCGCAAACGTGGCGCGAACACCTTCCAGAAAATGGAAGCTGAATTCTAATTGGCTAACAGCACGAAACCTCTCAGCAGCCGTTTGTGAGAGGTAGCGATGCCCGACGACACTAAAAACGGCTGTGTAGCAGACTATTACTCGACCGATTAGGTGTAAAAAGTATACATTAGGTCAAAATGGTCAAATGCAATCCACACCTTACTATAAAAAAATATGACTAATAAACTTTGTATATCTACTGACACAATTACAGGTTCGTCAAACCCTACAAGATGGATTCAAGGGTTGTGAATCCGTATCTCTGTGGCGCTCGGGACTTCTCGACATCTTTGCCTTGTATCTTTGAGTTCACCAGATACTCTTTGCCCATTTTCTCCTGAGACCACAGCAACACCTTATCAATATTGGGCGTCTCAACCCCCACAATTTCGGCAATACCCCGAATGACAACCAAACCCTGTGGGATATCCTCCGTCATGTAACGATGCGTGAAATCTGGTAGATATCTGCCGTCGTCCGACTTCTTGACAGGATGTTTGAGCCCTTGGTACGCGGCATTGGTCTGTATTGCGGTGTAGAGATTGGTCTTATCTGAGATATCTTCTGGATAGCATCGCATGTACCAATAATAAATGTTAACAACCTGTCAGAAGATATAACGTATCTTCATCAGCTCACGATATTTGAGCAGCACTTGTCATTGACAGAGAAGATGAGGCGGGGTGGGGTATGGGGATCTAAGGCACAAGAGAAATGAGAAGAAATTTTGTCGAAACAAGATAGCTTGAAGTACTCGACAACCTGACATAGACATAGAATCAAGATTAATAGCGAGCGTTCATAAATGGTATTAAGCTTTTTTCGCCCATACCACACAGCTGAGAGTTGATAATTCATGTCTCCTTGTACTGTCGCAATTTGTAATAATCATCGCACTTTGTAATACCTGTCGCAATTTGTAATAAATCCATCGCAGTTTGTAATACCTGTCGCAATTTGTAATAAACCGTGTCGCACTTTGTAATAAAAAAGCTGTCGCAATTTGTAATAACAGTCCATCGCACTTTGTAATAAACTAAGCTGTCGCAATTTGTAATAATTCCATCGCACTTTGTAATAATGTTTTGAGAGTGATTCAACTTACTTCGTCAACATTAATATAATGCCAAAATATGCATGGTACTTCATAAACAAAGATGATGACGTCTGCTAGCACGTAACATCTCCGTAACATTTTCTTTGGTCAAACATGCATGTCTTCCGCTATAAATTTCTCTGCCTTGATTAATCACGTGACCAACTAGAAACGCTTTATGAAAGACATGAAACTTCCTGTGATATTCATAAAAAAGATATGAATCATGTTTAAATTCAAAAATATTTAAATAACAAAAGCAACATTTAACAACAGAAAATTCATGAATAACCTGGCGTTCGCCGTCCAAATCCATGTTTGCTTGCCACGTGACACGTGAAGTCTTCGGGGGAGGGGGAGGGGATAATCCGATATATGGATGGGCTAGATAGGTGAGTACCGCCTGATAGGGTATAGTTTTTGAGGATCTCGAGCCTTTAATAGGGTATCATTTTTTACGTTGTTGGTCTTGTGTCTTTGGTTTGATCCTTAGATAGGGTAGCTCAAGTAGTAATGGATGGTTTATTCTATCCTTTCCATTTTGTGGAAAAACAGTTATCCAGAACACGCTCGGAAGAATTGCAAGGTCTTACGAGTCGTATATACACAGGGAAGGATAATTTTTTACTATCCCCATGGTACATATGTTTGCTTTAGAGGACTCCCTATAGAAAACAATTGTTTTAAGATGGAATGAGTACTCCTTTTGTTCCTGTATGGGACCAAATCAAGTGAGAATAATGGACCAAATGCCCAGCCGGCTCAGTGTAAGACTCCAAGTGTGTGTTATAAAAACAGGTACATACGAAGGTATTGGCCAGCGACTAATTGGATTTTGTTTTTAGGTTTCTGTTGTAGTTCGACGGTTTGCCACTGGTGACGTTTTTTTTTATTATTTGCAGTAAACATTTTGAATCTTTCCAGGCCTCGTTTGATTAAGTTGGCCAAAATATGGAAGCCACTATTACTTCTTTAAGACTGCGCGTTAGACAAGGACGGTGCACCACGTTTTGTGTCGACCTGTTATAAGATCTAACAAGGAAAGCTTGAACTCTCCTGGTGTCCTTATTCGAATGATGTAGGATGGATGTTACGATTTACGGAAATTAAATGCTTTTTAATAATGGTTCGTTTGTGTCTAGCGTGTCTAGCTCTGTCTATATCCTGTACTCTGGCAATGCTCTGTCCAGAGGGACATCCCCGTATTGGCCATATAAGGAAGTACACCCGCCGGGTAACCATTGAATGCAAGCCACCTAGCACAATAGCAAGGTTTAAGAATACATCATTTCGTAAGTCAGATAACTAATCAACATTAATCTAAAAAAAACGTTTAGGACTGTGAATAAAGTTAAATGTTTGAATGAGCGGAGATGTTGCGTGCTAGCAGACGTCATCATCTTTGTTTATGAAGTACCATGCATATTTTTAACGTTGACGAAGTAAGTTTAATTACTCTCAAAAAGTTATTACAAAGTGCAATGGAATTATTACAAATTGCGACAGCTTAGTTTATTACAAAGTGCGATGAACAGTTGTTACAAATTGCGACAGCTTTTTTATTACAAAGTGCGACACGGTTTATTACAAATTGCGACAGGTATTACAAAGTGCGATGGATTTATTACAAATTGCGACAGGTGTTACAAAGTGCGATGATTATTACAAATTGCGACAGTACACTCCTCTAAATAAAATCAGTCTTAGAATTCAGGATCCACAAACTCCAAACATTGTCTTATTTTTCTGGATATTAAGAAGGGTTTTATATTGTCAACGATATCATTTAATAACTCTAAAAGTTTGTATGGTGATTAAGAGTGTATGGACTGTTTTTTATCTTTACTTTTTACGTTCATGCTTCAAAATTAGTTAATTGTTAATTGAAAGATATATTTGCGTCCTACGTTATTGGCCCAATTCATATTAGAAGACGGCAAACTCGTCACAGACGGAATTCCGTCAGAGAGAATACCATCCGATATGAATTCAAGTCTTCAAGTCGCGACCGATGTAAATTGTAAAATGCAGTCATCTCCCAAAACATCTTCCAATTCTTCCCCAATCTGTCGAAACCGTTCTTTATTCGCTTGCTTTTTCAGCGGCTAGTTTTCCAGCTGATACAGCCAAGAGCGTTCTATTCAAGATGTCAGTGCTTCGAAGATCAAACATCAACGTTACAGGGGTGAATCCAGAAAGGGACGGCCGGGTCACTTGAACAAAGCTATATAGATATGTATTCATTTTACTGAAAATTCTTTGAAATAATAGAAAATTTAACACAAAAAGGGGTGACCGCGGTCCACTTGACCGACCCCTATTAAATTCGCCTGTGAGCGTATGCACTTGCTTCTCCTTCCGTCTTAGTAAACTTGGTTGTTTCTCTTCATCTTCTTCCTGTGACCTTCTGAGTGTTGGGCTACATTTTTTTTACTCAGAAACAGCTGCTGGCTTCCTAGTTCCAGTCTTTTCCTTAGGTCAAGTGCAAAACAGTCGTCTTGATTTTTGCGTCTAATGTGAATTTAAGACTGTTTTCTGACGGTAAGACGAATTTCCCGTCCCCGTATTATTTTCCCGTCGGTTAAGACGGAAAAATGGACGGATAAATTTGAGACAGGAAACTCGTCCTTAACCGGATTTATATTGGACACTCATCGACACTTGCTAAGCTATTGGATAATGGCACTTTTATAAAAAAATAAAATAAAATAAAATAAATCACGTCATTAGCTAGACTGTCACAAAATACAAAAGAGTGTCAAAATACAACTTATTTCATTTCATAAATAGTAAATACGCTTGGGCTTACACCGTACAAGGTATTTAAAAAAGATTAGGGTTGGGGTGCGGAAACTTGTGCTTACCTGAGGAAAAGTCCTTGCTATGCCCCTGCATAGAACAAAAGCTTTTTGGGAAGACTTATAAATTTCCTCACAACCATAAACTATGTCAGGAATCGGATTCATATTGAAGAGCAAGCTTGTCTAATTTATACCATACAGTCTTCCATACAATAACTGATTTATGTAAGAAACAATTTTACTTTAAAAGAATGTGACAAAAAAAAAGCCGTCGTGAAATAAAGGCTTGATGAAATATCAAAGCTCGTTAACCTTATCTGTTAAATCTTTCTCTTAATTAATTAAAGGGCAGGTTGCGTATTGTAAACACGATTAAGATGGACTCCAGAAAAGAATTCGCGCTTTCTCGCTGCTTTCAAGGCTTTTCTATTCCATTAAAGGTAGGTTCTCCATTTTAAACTGCATTTAAATGGAAACGTACATATTGAAGAGTTGTTGTCAAATTCAAATACTACAGAAGCTTACAGACGTAGATAAAATAACTTCTTTATGTAAGAAACAAATTAACTTTTAAAGAATGTGAGAAAAAAAATGCCATAGTTAAGTAAAGACTTGATAAAATATCAATTCAATTTGTTTTTCTATTGAGCCTACTCACTGATTGGTTAGAAAAACTATTTACCTCCAGCTCTTTAATCTTATCTGATAAATTCTTTCTTTTAATTACGGTACAGATTTCGTGTTGTGAAGACAACATGGACTCTAGAGCAGGGTTCGTTTTTCTCGCGGCTTTCAGCATTGCCATTGCCAGCAAAGGTAAGTTCTCCATCCCTAACGGCATTTAAATGAGTTCAGTATTTCCTCTACATGACATATAAATGTATCTGTAGTTGTTTGAATCATTTTTAAAATGAAAAGGAATGGGACAATAGAATAAACGGAGACGGGAGAACCCACGCATACGTGTTACATGATCTCCCAACCTAAATCACAACGGTAAATCATACCTACCTACAGCAAACTGTTAGATGGACAGCATGGTCTTTTAAAACGATAATTTCAGGACTGTAGCCATATGGAATATCTCTCTTTAAATTTGCTTTGTTTGATTTTAGGCCTTAACTCGCACTGGCTTCAAATATTAATCACATTGGGAAAACCATTTGTTTTATTTTATTTTATTTGTTTATTTTTGGGGTGAATATTTTGAATGAGTCTAAGATCTTCATGGTTTATGGATGCCGAATCCAATCATACTTTACTGAGTATAATACCCTTTGAATTATTTAGTCACGGGAATAAGAATATTTACTGATTGGAAGACAGCGGTGTTTCGCTTACAACTGAAGGAACGTCTCAATATCAAATATTGGACTAGTTAGTACCACTAAATTCCTTTGTCAAAAAGTTTGTGATTTTTTGTAGCAGGAGATAAATGCTGTACTCACTAGGTAAACGTATTACTGATATACTTTTTTTTCAGATGGATTTCCGCATTGGGGATATAAAGAGTCAGGTAAAACATTTTTTGAACTCGGATTTTCAAAAACTATTAATAGCGGGATGCATTTTTGAATTAGCGGTTTACAAGAATTAAAAGGCAACAAACCTGTAGGAGGTATTAAGACTAAGGTATTATTTATGTAGCAGCTCTCTCATGATTAAAGATTTTCCTATTTACGAGCAAATTACCCAACCTCATTTCAATCACTTGTCCACCTTTTATGACAATATTTGTGACAATAAGCAAACTAAGTTTCTAATACCCTTTGCATTCATTTTTTTCATTTTAAGTTATATTCTATATTCCCGATACTGAGTTTACACCAAGATCTACGATCTCTTCGCTTCTATTTGTCTAAGCTGTCCTTGCAGATTTTACAGTTCTTTTGAGTTCTACTTGAAGTTCTGGCTCTTAAAATAAATGGCTCCGAGCATGTCGTTAGACGACAGTGGCCTCACGTTGTTGAGCCCTGCCTACTCTAACTGCAGAGTATTTCGAAATAGTTAATAAAGACATCTATTTCATGGAAAACATGCAAGATATATACTTTGATATAAACCAGTTTTCCACATTACTGCATCCTCAGGAATCGGTTGTTCGTTGAGTTTTATGGGCAATTATTTATGTTTTATTGTAGATTATGGGCCAGGAGATTGGGGAAAAGTAGCGCCACCATGTTCAGGACAGTTGCAGTCCCCCATCAATATCGTTTCAAGTTTGACTGAAGTCAACACAACCCATAATGACTTAGTGGTCAACTTTGATAACATGGATGGCACTGTCACCGGATTTTTGATTAATAATGGACACGCCCCCAAAGTGGTTGTTGATAAGAACCAAGGCGGAGCAACTGTCACTGGAGGTCCCCTGGGACAGAACATGTTTATATTGCAACAGTTTCACTTTCACTTTGGCTGTAACAGTTCTACTGGCTCTGAACATACGCTTGATGGCAAGACGTTTGCATCAGAGGTTGGAATATTAATCTATATTTCATATCTCTGTTTCTTATCAATCCCTACAGTATTGTTAATAACTTCTCTTACTACTTCATTTGATGCCCTCGAAACGTACCCCTGGGACAACAAAAGCAATGAATGCAAAGGGTCAGTGACTAAATCTGAATTGATTTATTATAGATGCACCTGGTGTTTTACAATTCAGGTTACAAGAGTTTCCAGGTGGCCTCCTCCAAACCTGATGGCTTGGCCGTCGTTGGGGTATTTTTGCAGGTATATGGGTACTAATAAAGATTAAAATACGTTTCACAGGTATTAAATGATAAAAACTGAATATTGTAATATCAGCCCTCTGTTGTCTAACTCCATTCAAACACCAGTAGCACCCTTCCTCCCTTACTCTTGAATAGGACCAATTTGGGATCAATTTAGGTTTCTGGGAAACTGACCACCCACCCCTCCCTTAAGTCAACATTAGCACTTACTTCTCACTTAGCGCAAAATGTTGGCTTAGGGGAGGGGTAGGTGGGCAGTTTCCCAGAAACCTAAATTGATCCCCAATTTGTATCTGCGCAAGCAGACTTATGGAATTTTGTCTATTATCCTTGGTTATCTAAATAATATTAGGGTTCGATCAGCTTGTGACATTACTTAAAATTTTTGCACAACACATAAGAAAAAAACTACCACCTTTATTGTGTCGACAAGGCAGTTAATGTAGCCGAGAAGTCGAAATCAGAAACTCAAAATTATTATTGGAAAATAAATTAATGATAATCATTAACTGTTAGAGTTTTTATGTTTGATTATGCCTGTTCACTTAACGTAAGCAACACTTCTACTCGCTCGGACTTGGTTATCTTGCTCTAATTCAGGTCAATGGAGGATTCAGTAAATGGATGGAACACATCGCCGTTTCGTTAAGGAATGTTAAGACTGCAAATGGTAAACATCCTTTATTGTTCTTGTATATAATTGTCATATTGTGTCTGACTTAATCGCGCCTGAAATAGCAGTTTATCGGATAATATACTCCGTTTTTGTTTCTTTCTTTTTCCTTAAAGAGATCAACTATAACCTTGGAGACAGCATCGCTTTGTCGAAACTTGTTCCAGAGTTGGCTTCCAAGAACGCTCCTTACTATGCGTACAAAGGCTCCCTTACCACCCCACCCTGTTATGAATCAGTGCAATGGATAGTGATGAAAAATCCGATTTCGGTTACCGAGTCTCAGGTAATGCTTACTATCTATTTTAAAATAATACGATATTATTTTCAATGAAGTGGATCTAGTCAGGGGCTGATGCAGAAGAAGAGTTCTGGGGAAAAGGACCCTTTTTTGACCAGAGCGGCTTTCAAATTGCATTTTGGCATAAAGGCACAGATGGATTACATACTACATTCATGGCTGCAAATGCTTCATCTAATGACGTTCTTGCTTGTTTAAACTTGCCGCAAAATAATACAACAATCACCGGAGAATGTATAGTAATATAACATCGACGCAAACTGTAAAAACTGAACTGTTTCTAACGTATAACACGTAAGTAACTCTTCAGTGACATTTATGGTTTCTCAAAATAACCGTCATGACTGTTATGAAAGATGCTTATTGTCGTTTCAAGCTTTTCTTTTCTTTTCTTTTTTTGCTATTTTCAGCTGGAGATGATGCGATTATTGACCACACCTAACGGTACTCCGATGTGTAACAACTTCAGACCAGTCAGGCCCTTAAATGGACGGAAACTCCAATGGTCGCCCAAACAAGCTAAACTCCCTGGCCGGCTAAGGCTTCAAGGCATTCGATTGTATCACTAAGAAGAGATCAGTCATAAAATAGTTGTCCTGCATAGTGTTGCTACGTAAAGTCAAACACGAAGATGTTGGTTATTATCGGTTTGTTAGGAGTCATTAAAGTCACTACTAACTGTGATTATAGCGTATTAACAGTTATGCAAGAAAATAAAGAACATAAAGAAAGAAAATAACAACATAAAGGAAATACATGTTTAGCCACAAGATTGCCGATAACTATTTAGGACAAATTACTTGACGATGGGGATTTCAATTGCAATTACCACGTGCTTTTTGTTTTTCGTAACCTTAATAACATTTATTTAAAAGCTTCATAAAGCAAATGTATAAATGGCATTTGCCAACATTCATTTGCAAAATGTATGTAATGTATAATGCGCACACTGGAGAGGATTTACATGGAAAAAGAGCCGTTTTTTTTCTCCCTCTTCTGATCCTTCTAAAAACCTTCTGATCCTTAGGACAGAGTCTGACAGAGCAAGGCGACGAGTAGTCTATCTTCAGCAATGTTTAGTGATTAGGGTTGACAAACTGAGTGAATCAAGTGCAGGTCAGTTTCCCAGCATAATAACCCTGATGAACCTAATCACTAAACCTCAGCGGCATAGTTCATTTTAAGGTAGTTCCATATGTGTAGTCCATGGGGTAGTCCATGGACTAGGGGTCAGTGTTTTGGTCACCATCAAAGATAAGCCCCGTTTTGACTTTCCCTTGCCTTCCCTTCATTAACATTCGTAAGCTCAGTAGTGCTTTGTCAGTGCCTTCCTGCATACTAATAAGATCTAATAAGTGGTATGGTCGTTTCTTTTCATTTGAAAATAGCTGTACGTACTTTTGCGCAACACTCTTACAATAGACGAAGACTTGCCGGGTCTCTTCTAAACCTATTTGGTTTCAGTTGAATCAGTATAATCTTTTCAAAATTTAAGTGCCGTCCCTCTTAGTGGAAGCCTCACGCTATATTACATATTTTGTCGTTTTCACTCGTAAATTTACTACCAGACGGTTCCGATAGGCCTGACTCCTTTAACCAATGCGAAGGGGTCCCCATCTAACTGCTTTTATAAATGTTATTTGTTATCAAGGTCAGTAAAAAAATAAAAATTACTAGTCCAAAGATTATAATTTCAAATATTCTTTAGAGTGTGATAATGGAACGTTTTCAACACCATCTACACACAAAACACATACAAAAAAAAAATAACGCAAAGAGTTTGAGGGAGGAAAAAAGTATCATGCAACTGGCACATACTAGAAGGAAAAAAAATATATTGAAAGTAAAATTAGAGTACTGGCCTCCTGAACTAACCAGAAGGGCTAGTAGAGCCAGGTAGCCAGTTGACACCAGCATTAAATAGAATACATTACAGGTCAGCAAAGATACTAATGCACAAATACACATATAAAAAGAAAGAAAGAGAAGAGGAAAAACGCTATTAATTGATATATGGAATACAAAACAATAAATTCGTAAATTCTACTGCCGTTAGACCTCCTATAATGTTACGTAAATGAAATAAGGCAACATGCAACACGTAATAAGAAGTAGAAGAAGAAGAAATTAAAGAAAAACGCAGTTTAAGAAGCTGAATTCACTGAATTAACGGAACTAACAAATCACCGACATCTTTCCTGCTGATCGCTGACCTCCAAACAAAAAGACATTATGGTTAAAGAAAACCAAATCCCAAAACTGTAGGAAGGCGAGCTATTTTTTTATCCTTGAGTGATGATCGGGTCGGCAATCGAATTAGGACCTAATATCTCATACCAACTAAAATTACAGATCGATAATTACTGTTTCTTTTAGCAACACATGTCCTCTAATGACTAACACTATCATTAATCAAATCTCTGAAAATCGATGAAAGACTTTCAAGAAACCAGAGCGAGTTAGGATAAAGATTAAAAGAAATAATAACAATAAAACAAGCTGAACGTACCTCTGACATGTCGGCTCCTGAATTCTCTGTGATGACCTTCGCAGTTTTCACAACCTCATCAGACATACCAGAAAGAAGGTTGGCAACTGCCTCGGTAAGTCCATTGTAGAACAAAGGTGGCTGATCAAAGGCTTTTCCATCCCACCCCTCCCACTGTCCATACATTATTGATGTGTGAAGGTAGGCATTTGTACTCATTAGCTGAACACTCAGTAGATGACCTGACACTTTCAGCTGAGGAAGGGGTCCTAGGAGATACTGAAGTGTCGCAACTGGATCCTTGTTCACTGGCACATCTGCCATCTTTACAAAGAAAAATAAAAGATGAGCTGCAACTTTCATAAAATGTTGCCTCTTGATAACAAAAAAAAACTACTTTGATTGCCGTTCTACGACCATCACGTTATTACTCAATCAAAAATATTAAACGTCGCTTTCTGAATGAGAAAGCACACGGCACGTTTTAGATCGTTTTAGTAAACACTTAAACTTTACTGAATACCTTTTTTTGTAAAGAATATTTCCTTTTCAAGATGCTACTTAAGTCATTGACCTATCATCTTCTTAGTGGTCCTACATCCAGGAATCAAAACATGTTATCTATGGAAGAATTTCTGGAATATATGTGTTAAATTCAGTCCTAAAAGTGCCCACAGACCCTACATTGTGTTTATTGCGTAGTTGAACAACTTAGCATTTTAATTTCTACCTTAAGACAGCCGTGTAAGGTTTCTTTGGTGCCAAGAACTGTACATTTTGAACCAAATTCAGTCGTACGACACGCCCATGGTAAAGACTCAAAGTTCATGATCGTGCACAGTCCCACTAGGTCACTTAGGACGTGCCGTGCTTCAAACTCAAAACCCGGGCATCCTGGTAATCCAACTACAATGATCCCTGGTGTGATATAAGGTTTTAAAACCTCCAGATAACCACGATGGTCCGCAGCCCGCTGCACAAGGACCAATAAATCAACATTTTCCATGGCTTTGCTTGGGTTGTTCGTCACTAATACGGGTTTGGACACAATACGAGTTTGCTCCTTTCCTTTCCTGTGTAGGATAATTTCGAGATTCCTTTTCTGCAACGCAGCATTCCAACGCGCTGCTCGCTCTCGAGACAACGTTAATACCCTTACGTCGGTTCCTTTCAAAGAAGAGGCTATGCCGGCAAAGGCATGAGCACCATTTCCACTTCCACATATCACCAACTTAATGGAGTCTAGGGTCATCTCTGTCAACATGAAGTTTAATTGTTTTTCTTTAACTTTTTTTGCATCCTATAACTAATAGCCCACGTTCGATGTATTAAAATTTTAACATGACGACTCCGCGTTTTTTGGTCAGTTTTCTATATTTGGTTTGGTTTTCTTTGTGCTCAAGTCTCTTGGGAATTGCGAGACAATGGTGTCTTGAAAAATTTGCAATTTTGACCCCAAACAAATTGTCTCCGCTCGACGGCTCTCTTGAGTTGTAAGTAAAACTGAGCCACAAGCGCGAGGTCCAAAGCAACAAAAAATACCTACAAAATATAACTATCTTTTAAATAACTGATTAAAAACAAAAATACTAGCAAACCGATACTTCTTTAGTATGAGAGACGAAGGGAGCCACAGCGAGAGCGGTGTTTTTTAAGCGGCGGATTTGAGGTCACAGACGTCAGGAAGGTTGTGCCCGGTCTGGATCGAGTACGGCTTTTGTGGCGCGAAAAGCGAGGATTAAGCAATGAATGGTTTTGGTAGAACGCGAGGCACGAACTTCCTGTCTGTGTTTAATTTTGCTGTTTGAAATGTCTTCACTCATGACATAGCATTTTGAATGTCAGAAAGATCTTTGTCGCTAAAGGGGACTCGTACATTTTCTTTGCCTCATTCTCATATGAAAATTTCATCCTCCACATTTGTCCGCTAAGCTTGAAATCAGTGCTGTCGTGTACAATTTGATTGTCTTGACCAGTGTGCAATGTTGTGTAGCAAACAAAAATTGCCATACATGATAGCGAAGTTTAGCGGTCTATTTTATTTGCAGTTTGCTATTCATTTTCAAAGTTGATTGCGCCAAATATCACAGGGGTCTCTCTAAAAAACGTTTTCAGGATATATGTATAATCAACCCGATGCACAAAAACACGCAGTCATAACATTTTCATTTAAGCCATTGAAGACAAAATAACAGTTCATGCAGTATAAATTATCGGCCGTTAAAAGTTCGAAAAATATAAAGCCCTCTGAGTTCACTTGATGATGATTCACATGGACAAGAAATCGAGTAAATCTTACGTAAATTCCGTAAATTCCCAGCCTAAGGACTTAACAAGGCTAGAAGTATTTGTTGTAATGTTATAGCCGTTGCATACAAAGCGAGCGGCATTAATTCTTCTGAATTTGCTCAAGGCGCTTTATGTCAGTATCAGTAAGGATGCATATTCAGGTGTAGGTCTAACCACTGTCATGTAAGCTCTCTCTTTAACCTCAGAAGCAGGAGAGCAGAAGAATTTTCCATGGTTTTAGGCCAACAGTTTAACCCCAATATCGGAAATTACCAAATAATTCTTACCCAAACGCGGACTTTCGAGTACTAGAATCTCGCGTTCTATGTTGAACTTCAAAAGTGGCGTTCTGGCGTCGGCGACTTGACTGCACGGACGTAAACACATGCGCAGTATATTCACGCTGGCGCTAGCGACTTCCGGTGAGCGTTCGTGACCTCAAAAACGTCTGCTACTTAATTAAGCTCTCAGTAAATACCTTGTTAACCTCGTCAGTTCAGTCATAACAAGGAAATCTCAGACCTCGGCCTTGGTGTATTGACTTCGCTATCGGCCTCGGTAAATACATCAAGGCCTCGGTCTGAGATTTCCTTGTAATGAGCTCACTCTCTTTTAATAGAGTGATTTTACTTGACCCGTGAATACTACGCACTATTACACACTAATTCCATTGTCCTGACTTTTGTTTACCTCTTGCTATTTGTCTTAGGTGTTGCTGCCGAAACCACACCAAACAGTCCATGTGCATACCGTAATAGCTTAGCTTTCGGCATAGCAAATTTATATAGATTATGGGGGTGGAGAGAGGTTTTTTGCTCTTACCAATTTATAATACCCAGGGTTTACGCTCTCATCAAAATAATCAAAATAATTTAAGAGATTAAAATTAATTAATCGGTTTTGACTCGTGTAAGTATCCTACATATCGCTCGGTAGTCTTGCACGTCAGGTTCATTAGAGTTCATTACAATGTTTTGTACGTCAAACAACACTTCCATTCTCTCAACGAAGGATTTTCTCGTAAAATTCGAGAAATGCGGCACAGCTCGTCTGCACTAGGCTCCTTGCATGACTGTGATCACGTGATCAACTTTCGGTAAACACGAATTTACGCAAAACAGCTCACTTTTGAAAAATTTTGTCAGCACAAGCTGAAAGAGCATATTAAAATTTGGTAGCCTGAGAATTTTCAGCCAGTTATCTCAAAACGCCGCCGAAAGTTAGAATCATTTCAGAAAAACAGTTTTGCCACCCATTCCGTGACGCTTGCGTGGTTTTCAATACAAATCCTTGTAAATTCTAAAGTTTTTCTGTCGTGAAATCTTTCCCTTATGCATCAAAGGGTTCAAATAGCCTGTTATGAGTTAAAAGGAAAATTTCGAAATCACAAGGATTTGTATCGAAAACCATGCAAGTGTGACTGGATGGGAAAAGTTGTTTTTCTCATACAAATACCTCCAACTTTCGGCGGCCGTTGCCATCGCTATTGTTTGAGGTATACGGCTGAAAATTCTCAGGTTAGGTAATTTTAATATGCCCTTTCAGTTTGTGCTGACAAAATTGAACTGTTTCTCGTGTTTACCGAAAGTTGATTAAGTGATCAAGTCATGCAAAGAGCCTTTTGTCTGAGAGAGACTTCATTGGAGGTAGTCCATTATAAGTAGTTCATTGCCTCTTTTATGGTTACGGATAGTGCTTTCCACAAATTCAATTCGGAGATTAAATATGTCTGTCATATGACCAGGATGATTCCTTAAGTAAGCCTTATCATATAACTGGCTGTAAGACGAACTGTACTGCTTAAGGATAAACTTTATCTGATTAGGAGTAGTCCGCTTGACTGGCTGAATAAATCAATGGCATGATCGGACAGCTCAAACAGGCAATAAACAGCTCTAGATAACCGATGACAAATGAAAATCAAGAAAATAAACACTCTATTTCATGCATACCTCGTTCTTGGAGATGTAGGTGACAAAGCATAACAGGCCAGAGCCCCGATTTTAAGTACTAGGCGACTTTGAAAGACGCGTGCTTCACATATTTGTGGCGGATTAGAATGCCGGCTTGGTTAGAGGCCCTTTGTTTAAAACATGGCGGGATACTCGCAGCTTTATAAGGCAAGCATGTGCCTTGTAGCTGTCAACATAATGCTTTTTAATTACATTCTGTAATAATTAACAAAACCCGATCCATGTTTGATTGAAAGTAATTGTACAAATCAGGTACCAGACAAACCGCTTTTAAAAAGCAAAACAACAAAACTAGTTTATGGTTATTTCTCATTAATTTCACTTATCAAAACAAATATTTACTTTTATCAGTTTTCCCGTTTCTTTCAAAACGTTCTTCATTTCCGGGCGTTTCACTGTAGTCAATGAAAGACACGTTTTATCGGTCTTCTTTTACGCGGGAACATCAAAATTTCCATCTTTCAAAACGCGATGAACCAAAGCTTGCAGGGTACCAAAGCGCCAAAGGCGCACGATGCAGTCCCGGTGTTTTGTGAGCACCCGTTAAGAATATTGAACGCCAAAACTATCAAGTTTTGGTACAGCAAGAGGCAGCTAGTTTCTGTATCCAAAGGTTAGTGCATGGACAGGCTATCGAAAGAAAATAAAAGGGATGCTTGCCCAATGGATAGTAGGCCTAACTACGCAAATAAATGTCTCATTGCATCCTTGTCTGCGAGGTTAGTACTAAATTTACAATATAGAATACATTACACAACTCAATCCGCAACACTTTGCAAGTAGAATTGGCGATCAGTGTGGGCAATTTATATTTCTAAGGGACGTCCGTCCCAAAAAGGCTTAACGCGGGGGGGTTTTTAGTCAATGACTGACATAAGAGTTTCCTCACAATCAACCCAGTTAGAGTGCGATAATGTGCGCGTGAACTTTGCCTACAACTGGCAATAAGCTGAATAAACCGGAAGCTGAACACCATGAATAAGTTACTAAATTATATCCCTCAGGTTTTTTTTATTTTTTTTCAAGTACCGGAGGGGTTTTTCGCGCATTCTGTTGCGCAGTTTGGCAGTGATATACCGAGCATCAGACAGGTAACGCGCCGAAGCCACCATTTTACTCTTCTTCTACCAAACAGTTTTCCTGCAATGGTGTTAGTACTGGTCCCATTGCCGAAACCTTGCACGAGCAAGATACGGTAATCGAGAGTCGAGAATCGAAAATCGATATTGTACTCGGGACAAGAAAAGGTCGCCGTCCAAGGAACAACTGATGCAATGCAAGAGCTTCAAGCTGCTGAGAATCGCCAATTCTGGATTACAAGCAGTGAAGAAACTCATGAGGAGCGTCCAAATTATAAAGGAACTTTGGAGGCCAGTCAGCCACGGTGATTTTCGCACCACGCAAAAACTAGAATAAATTTGTTAGCCTGGTCTTGTCTTTGCCACAAATCACGTAAAACTATAAAGAAGGTACCACTATGAACTCTGGAAAATGAAAATTCAATAATACTATGGTTGACGACTGACAGTTTAAAAGAGAGACAACCTTCACCACAGAATCTTGGGCGCGCCGCCTGTAAGCTCTGAGGGAGAGGGAAGCCCCATAATTTGGCCTATTTCAAAAATAAATGACACTACAAAAATTACCTACAATAATAATTTGGATAAATGACCGACATTTTAAAAGAGAGACTACCATCACCTCAGAATCTTGGGCGCGCCGCCTGTAAGCTCTGAGGGAGAGGGTAGCCCCATAATTTGGCCTATTTCGAAACAAATGACAGTACAAAGATGACCTACAATAATAATTTGGATAATGACCGACATTTCAAAAGAGAGACTACCATCACCTCAGAATCTTGGGCGCGCCGCCTGTAAGCTCTGAGGGAGAGGGTAGCCCCATAATTAATTTGGCTTATTTCAGAAACAAATGACACTACAAAAATCACCTACAAAAATTATTTGGATTATGACCGACATTTGAAAAGAGAGACTACCTTCACCTCAGAATCTTGGGCGCGTCGCCTGTAAGCTCTGAGGGAGAGGGTAGCCCCATAATTAATTTGGCCTATTTCAAAAATAAATGACACTACAAAAATTACCTACAATAATAATTTGGATAATGACCGACATTTCAAAAGAGAGACTATCATCACCTCAGAATCTTGGGCGCGCCGCCTGTAAGCTCTGAGGGAGAGGGTAGCCCCATAATTTGGCCTATTTCGAAACAAATGACAGTACAAAGATGACCTACAAAAATTATATGGATTATGACCGACATTTCAAAAGAGAGACTACCTTCACCTCAGAATCTTGGGCGCGCCGCCTGTAAGCTCTGAGGGAGAGGGTAGCCCTATAATTTGGCCTATTAAGTAAAAAACAAGTAACAATACAAAGGTCACCTGTAATAATAATTTTTGGATTATGATTGGCATTTCAAGGAGGCTAAAATGACTGATATAGAAACCATACTGTATCTGTGACGTTGATTATACAGATCGCCCAAGCGAACGCGAAGATGTTGAAGTGGAAGCTAGAATATCTGGAGTAATCCAGAAAAGTTCCTTGACAGGCAACGTGTCCGGCGCTCTCCAAAGGTGCCTGGAGGAATGCTTAAAACTAATTACGAAAGTAACGCTTGTCTGTTATTGGAAACCGATCTGCGGTGGTTGCTGTGGAGATTAGGCCTCCTCCTGCGCGCACTAAAATCGGGGCTCTGGCCTGTTATGGTCTCTAGGGAAAGAAAGACCAAAGAGAGACTACTCAATGAATAACCAAACTGGCCTAAGCAGTGCCGACACACCTAGCGCATACATACACGTACACCTCGTTTGTGGAACGTGACTGGAAATACGCGTCACTGACCAAACGAGAAGGCAAGCCATTGATTATATTGGCCAAGTTCATTATTGACCGACACGAAGTCGCAATAAAAACGCAAATAAAGAACGACGCCAATATCCAGCCTTCTAGAAGAAACAAGCTTGGTCAACCACGAATTTATTTTACCGACAAGAAGACGTGTTAATTTTTTGTGCTCGTTTGTTTGTTTGTTTGTGTTTTTGTGGGAAATAAAGTACATCTAAAACGGGCAATATAGACAAATCTTAACTCCCTTGGACAGCTAGAATCGGAACGAGAGATTCGTTACTATCTTACCCTCTCACAGAATCAGCTAAATAATAGTAATTAGTATATACACACTCAGTGATCTTGGTGATTTAAGCAATCTGATTGGTTCGCTATCACGGACTATTCAACAATATTCACCTCCTAGCGAGTGGATAATGTGTGAGCTCGGTGTTTTTCCCATTTTTTTAGAGAACGATCTTTTAAAAGTCGGCAAAATCGTAGCGCTGACTGTTTTTAAGGCAAGAAAAGACTTGGAAGGATACAATAAGGCGTTTTTCAATTTACTGTAGCTAAGTTTTGTGCTCGATGGATTGTTTACAACTCCCGTGTATTCGCGTAGAAGAAGCCGTTTCGTGAAGTCAGCTTTTTAATTCTAACAGGAAAATTTTGGCTCAAAAATCAAAGTTTATTTATGAAAAACAAATTTAAAAGGAAATGTTTGCAGAAATTCTACGTTTCAAGTAAACAGGAAAAAGAATGATACAGGAAGACGACGTGTTACCTCGAGCAGCCGAGCCCGCCATTTTTGTCAGCACTGCATGCGAAGAACGACACAACAAGCCCTTTTGGCTTGGCGAGTCAACAGAAAACAACAAAGCTCCACTTTTCTTCTCAGGTAAGGAAACAGTTCAAACTTTTAGCGGTGCCATTTAAGCCATTACGCTGTTGTCTGCGAAATGATAAACCTGTGAATTGCCATGTTTGAAAATTCTGCAAAGATCTCTTTTTAAACTTACGCGTGATTTGATCTGTCAATCAAATTGTATATACTAAAACAATTATTCTTTTCAATCTCGGTGAATAGTGGCTTTGGGAATATTTACCTCGCCGCTTTCGCTGCTCGGTAAATATTTAGCCACTATTCACCTCGATTTCAAAGAATAATTGTTAAATATTCTGATTATGAGTACGTAGCCTCGTTTTTGGAACGCTGGGCAATTGATACCATCCGGAAGATTAAGCAGTATTTATTTTGAAGGTAGATGTGTATCTTTTAACTAATATTTTTGCGCCAATTAAAGACAAACTGATACTTGCAAATATTATGAGAATCTGCTCAGAATTCTATAACCAGAAAATTAATGCAACCATTGGAGAATGTTGAATTGTCTTCTCAACCCTTAATAATTGTACCAAGATATGTTATGTTGCTATATTCAATGTTAACAAAACTTAACTTTAATCGTTCATATTATTGCCTGAAACAATCAATCAATTTGCAAGATTTCATAACATCCGAGCCAACACTGTTCCAACTCTACAAGCTGTACATGTACATGCTTTTTTCTTTCTAACTAGGAAGCATGAGGTACAAAAGCCAAGGAGGGACGACTGATTTACAGCTTACGACTTCCACCGTCTTAGTTTCGACTTCCAATTTCTGATTTCCGACTTCCGACCTCCCACTTTCGACTTCCCACAATTATCGAGGAAAACGCATTAACGAGTGTCTTTTTCCCGACCCCATCAAAATATCGTTCAATAATCAATAATAATCAATAATACGCTCTCTGAGTTCCCAATCACTTAATGAGTAATGTTTTCACTAATAATATTACAATGTACATCGAGCCACTTTAAATAAGAAAGCATTCACACCAACATCTTCACCATTTTGGATTGTTTACTTAAGATATTTATGTGGTCATCAAAAAGTCTCGGATTCCAACACACAAAAAAACTAGGGATTTCTACTATACTCTGTTCCACTTCAAAGCTAAACCCCTGGACGAGCTAGATACAGGCTTCTTATATTAAGATCTTTCAAACTGAACAATACGACTTGTCTAACCGTTGCACACCTTCGTTACTCAGCCGGTTAGAAGTTAAGTAGTCCCGCTAATCAGATCACATTTTTCGACAGTATGCGGCTTATTGCGAAGAAAATCGCATATAAATTCTGTTCATCTACTAACAAACGGGTGTATTAAAATCTATAAGATGGATTCAAGAGTGGTAAATTTGTATCTCTGTGGCGCTCGGGACTTCTCGACATCTTTGCCTTGTATCTTTGAGTTTACCAGATACTCTTTGCCCATTTTCTCCTGAGACCACAGCAACACCTTATCAATATTGGGCGTCTCAACCCCCACAATTTCTGCAATACCCCGGATGACAACCAAGCCGTATGGGATATCCTCCGTCATGTAACGGTACGTGAAATCTGGTAGATATTTGCCGTCGTCCGACTTCTTGACAGGATGTTTGAGTCCTTGGTACGCGGCATTGGTCTGTATTGCAGTGTAGAGATTGGTCTTATCTGAGATATCTTCTGGATAGCATCGCATGTACCAATAGTAAATGTTAACAACCTGTCCGAAGATATAACGTACCTGCATCAGCCCATAATATTTGAGCAGGAAACATTCAATTACGGAGGAGGTGGGATTTAGAAATGTGATATTAAAGACAAAGAGAGATAAGCAGAAAATCATAAGACATAGATAGCTTAAGGTAAGGAATCAATATATAGCTATGAATTTAGCTTTGTTTGGATTCTTTTTTTTCCTACATTGAGCACTGGCTACCTAACAGTGCGTGGCGTGACTCGTACCCACTGCGATACGATTTACGTTCAGTAAAAGTCACGGGTTTTTGTCCTACTCTGAAGAAACAAAAATGACTGATTTTGTTAGACCTGCAACAGGTGAAGGGAGAAGTACCACAAGGTAGTGTCCTTGAACTGATTTGTGCGGGCGACAAGAGGAGCCCGCAATCCTAATCTGCAGGTTGTTATTAAGCACGTGTCGTATGTATGCAGCCAACATTTGTTTAGACTTACACTAAGAATGCATGGAATGCACAGAACGCAGTTTGATCACGCGCGTTTCGACCTCCTACCCCTCGTAATCTGATCACGCGTGTCTTGACTATATGTCACAAGAAACCTACGCAAAGCACTCACTGCGTTGGAGCAAATGCGTTTGAATTTAGGTCGTTGTCGCCCGCACTCCGTAACCTCTGGTTATTACTAGTCTATATATATATTTGTAAACGACTTACATATTCACAAATAAAAAACGTAGAATAGACCATTTCTCAGTTGCCCCAAGCCTCTGTTTCAAAGCGAGGCCAGTGTCCCAGACTAGGCTAAGTGTAAAGCCCTTGACATTAAACTGATCTTTATTCTACTTTCCACCACTAATTTAGTTGATGAGCTACAAGGTGGCCTTATCCATCATATCCGAAAAACGATACCCTCAAAGGAATCAACGATAAAGGAGAAACAAAGTAAAAATTTACCTCTGACATGTCGGCTCCCGATTTCTCGGCAATAACCTTGGCAGTCTTCACAATTTCATCAGACATATCGGAAAGAAGGTTAGCAGCTGCCTCGGTAAGTCCATTGTAGAACAAAGGTGGCTGATCAACAGTTTTGCCATCCCAACCCTCCCACTGTCCATATGTTATTGACGTGTGCAAATAGGCATTTACACTCATTAGCTGAACACCAAGTAAATGACCTGACACTTTCAGCTGAGGAAGGGGTCCTAAGAGACTCTGCAGTGTCGCAACTGGGTCCTTCTTTGGCGGCACATCCCCCGTCTTTACAGACAGCCAAAAATCAAAAATGAAAATAATAAAAAGTTAACTGACGTTTTATACTGTGTATGCGTGATTGCGTATTGATGTTCAGTTATTCAAGCATAATATTATGCATATGCTTTTAATAGCGTAATAAGCTTTTGCAATTTATACATTTAACTTTTGATAAGTATTGTATAGTGAGAACAGACCAATTTTTTCAGGTTAGACAATTAATTTACGGAATTAAGCTGGATCCACGGGAAGGCAACTGAGATGGAAATTAGTTTCGCTGTTAGAAAACAAACAAACGAACAAACAAAACAAACAAACAAACAAACAAACAAAAAAAACACTACATGTACAGTTTTACATAAGAGCCTAACCACTATTGATCACGAATTCCATAATTTCCCTTGGTTTTAAATGACAACAAAGTTATCTTTATCCGTAATGTACCTTCATGGCCCCTAAAAGAGATTCTTTGGTGCCAAGAACTTCACATTTCACTCCATACTCAGTGATGCGACAGGCCCAAGGTAGCGACTCGAAATTCATAATCGTACATTGTCGCCCTGTGTCACCCAGCTCATAGCGAGCCTGGAACTCAAAACCTGGTTCCCCTGGCATACCAACAATAATAGTACCAGGCCTCGTATGTGGCTTTATCGCCTCAAAGAAAACTTGATGAGCAAATGCAGGCAAGACAAACACCACGATATCAACATCGCGCATGGCATCTTCTGGATTTTTGGTAACCAGAGCTGGTTTGGAGAGAATAGAGGTTGTGTCCTTTCCTTTACGATGCAGAGTAACCTCCAGATCCTTTTTCTGCATTGAAGTATTCCAACGCTCTGCCTCATCTTGATACAAGCTAAGCACCCTAACCTCTGTTCCTTTCAAGGACGATGCAATTCCAGCAAAGGCATGTGCCCCATTTCCACTTCCACAAATCAACAGCTTGATGGTGTCCCCTGAACTCATTTCCTGTAAACAATAACAAAATAAGTTCCATTAAAAAAGACAAAAAAAGCACACATTGTGACAATAATTATTATTTTGTCAAAAAGGGTACCATTTCCACATTCCGCTCCAGTGAGCAAGCACAAAGAAATAAAGTACGGGATTCTAAATGTATGTTGCAGTTAATTTTTTATCTCAGGTAATTTTTATTTTTCCTTTGTTTCAACTTCATTAGCATACATTACCATACCCCAAAACAAAAGAAAAATAAAAATTACCTGAGATAAAAAATTAACTACAACATGTACATTAGTGCAAAATACAAGTAATGGTTAGCAGAACGTAAAAATTAATAGGTAATTACCTATCACTATAGTTATAAGCCTGACCATTTTCCTGCTCCATTCAATCTGATTGATTTAGTACAAATGAACCATTGACTTTTTGTAACCTACATGTTATGAGACTGTGCATATGTCCAAATGAAATGTGCAGTTCAGTCAAAATGATCATTGGGTTAAAATACTTTTGGTCAAAGTAGTCAAAAGTAAGCCAAAAGAGTCATTTTGTACTTTGAGCAATTCTGTGCTCAACCTCGTTCCCAGCCTCACTCTCCAACCCGAGGTAGGAGAGAACCCTGGGTAAGAGATTGTTCTGTGCTATGAACTTATGTTTTGCAAGATTTCAACCTATGAAAAACAGACAACAACCACTACAACTACCCTGAAGAGTTAAATGAGGTTTAAAATTTTTTATTTTATTTTTTATTTGTAAAATTTAAGAAAACCATATAAATTATTCAATCAGTCATGTATCACTGGTGGGGAAAACTGCTTGGTCATGAATAATTTAGCTTGGCTACATCCTATAATTTAAACGTTTTTTTTGTTGTGGTTGTTTTTGATTATCATTATCAATAAATTTCCTTTATTTATCGTCAACAGTATTTTAGAGCACAGAAGCTGCTGGGGCTGAGCAATAATAATGACTCAAGCAAACAAATGTTAGTGAAACAAAAACTGCTTCCTTCCCAGTCAGTATTTACACTGGAGGAATTCGTTTGTAGCACTGAGTAAAAATTAACCTTACATGTATATACTTATTAAATACTTCCAAAGAGAAAAGAACAGTTTTGATTTAGGTCTGCAACTAAATTTATGCTACATCTCTATTTTTATGTAGTTATAAAAAATTAGATATAAATTAGCAGTGGGCCTCAGTGTAATTTTTAATAAAGTATTGATCATTGATCTTAATTTACATATTTTTATAACATGCAAGGATTCAATCACATTTGTACACTTGACTATAAAGTGCATTATAAGGACAAAAAATAGCAAACAATGATAACTGCTGATTTGTTTTTACCTTAGGAACATCGGGCAAAGTCTCTTACGTTTGTTAACATCGCTGTGGCAGTGACAAAAAATTGCCTATTCTAACTTGCCAGATATCAATAGACCCCTTTGTATTGCCTCAAAATGTTACAAATCTGTAAAAATTCAGCATCAGCACATGCTTTTCAATTTTTTGGTACCCCCTATATTATCCGATAGATCAAAGTGGCATTTGTTTCAGAGGTCTTCAATTTACTATTAATACATTTTCCCCCTTTCTATATCAGCAGTGTAATCATGAGTGAGATAATAATAATATTATTGTGATTTAAGGCCTACTTATGTTTTTAACAACTGCTGGAAAGGTAAACAGAAACTCGATGTTTTGATGTTAATAACAAAATTTACGCTTCAAGTTCTTAGTGCTTTTTTATATGATATTTTTTATCGAATAATTGTTCTTAGTGGCAAAATGCAGTATTTTTATCTCACCTGGAAAGTTTCCAGGGATCAATGCACAAATGCTTGCATCATTTCTAATTACTAACTAACAAGCAACCTTGAGCTTGGAGACAGGTATATGTGATTCAATGCCATGGCAAAATCATTCATCAGGTGTTTCAATCCCTGCCATTTTCACACTGTTTGCTCACAGATGTTGACAGGCTCACGTAGGGTTGTTTTCAAGAGCTGATTAAGAAACAAAGTCATGATGCTAGGAGGCAGTATGGCCAATGGTGGTTAGAGCACTGGACTTGCAACTCGTAGGCCCTGAGCTCAAGTCTCACTCTGACCGCCAGTTGGATTTGTTCACGGTAGCCCCAAGTTCAATTCCTTGGCCATGCTTGTAAATAGTTAGCTGGTTACCCCTAGCCAGTTGGGATTCTTAACCCTGGAGTTTGGAGTTTATATTTCTTTAAATACAGGTTTTGATGTCCCGGATTTGATCTCTGGTGCGATGCAATAAGCATTTTCTTTGGCTCTCTGGGTAGATTGAAACCAGGACATTCAAATAATGAATTTTTACTGGACAGAATCCGGTTCACTCTTTCAGAGTTTAGGAATGTCAAGACTTGTATGCTGAATGTTTCAAATAAATGAATAATTTTATTTTTTTGCTGTCTTGCCATGCATTATTTATTACTGAATTTTGTTTTGGCCATTTGCCACAAACAGGAGCACTCAACAACTGTTTCCTTTAAAATGTCTGTTCGGAGTTTCTAAGCAAAATTTAATATTGCCTAGAATTTTCTATAACTTGAGGACAGCTAAACATTTCTAGATGACTGTTCCATTTATGTACAATTTTCGAAGCTTTACCAATAAATCTGCCATGTACGATTCACAGAAGTTTTATTTTTTTTTTATATTTTTTTTACTCCCCAGGTTAGGCTATTTTCACAGTAAAAAGGAAACCTAAAATTATTGGATTCAAAAAGGTGATGAAGAGAGAAATTAGAAAATTCTCCTTTTCGTAAAACATTAAATTGCATGTAAAATTTTCGGGAAAATACTACTGTAACCCTAATAATTTTGAACAGATTCAAGTTGCCCTAGGATGACCGAACAGATACAAATTTTATAGTGCCGCTTAGAATGTATTTCTAGAGATCTAAAAGTACTCTGGATAGCCTAAAAAGTGTTTTCAATGTACGTAGGAGGGAACTGTTGTTGGGCGCCCCTGCCACAAATGCCTGCCATCAAAAAATTGTTCAACTTCTACTCATTTCCAGTATCTCTAGGTCAAGTCAATTTTGTTTTGTGTTTGACCTCAACCAATCACCATGCATGAACCCGATAAACAGGAATAGTTAGGGTCTTGCCTGCCGATGAAATAAATTCCCTATAAAATTGAAAACAGATGGGTAAAAATCCTTTGCAGCTTGCTACACTGTATGCCAAAAAGGTCTTAAGCATTGTGATCCTGCCAGCTAGATTTGAGGAACCAAGCCCAATGAACCCCCTTCCCCACCACCCCGTGGGTGCCATCCACGGTGTTAACAAAATTGCAAATTTCCACACCTGTTTCGTCTGAACTCTATAAAACAATGAATATATTTTCCACTCCCCTGTTGCAGAGAATCTAAACCACCCCATATTCCCCTGGGGCAAGTAGATGACATGTGCAGAAGGTCGTCATGGCATCGATTGCACAACGTTTAGATCAAGAACTGGTACCCTAGCTATGATCCCGTAAGAATGGTCGAAGTAAATACCTTCGTAGGGCAGAATACACTGCCAACTTCACCAGATTTAGTCGTTAACCGTGTGCCTTAATATGTCAACAATAAAAAAATGGCGGAAAAGCCATTCACTCTACATAGCTAACTTACACGCAGACAAAAAAAAAAAGTAAACATTGGCATTCTACAGATCGAAGTACCAGAAAATAATATACATTTTCCATGACATACAGATAAGTGACAGGATATTCTGTGGGTTCTAAAAACATGCAAAATCGAATACAACAGTGGCCTCGTGCGCGGCCGGGTTCGGCGACCCAATGTATATAATTTAGTAACCAGTTGTACATGTTAAATGACCTGAGACGGAAATTAAGGCCTATGGGATAAAGGTAACTTACTGAGTAGACGAAGTGTTTCACTTACCGAAGAAAAAGGTTTCTGCTGGTTTAAAAAACTGGAACGATAACAATCCCTATATCGTAGTTCTTCGCGGCAGCCACCGGTGAGTACAGAATAACGCGTCACGCAATTCAACTTCGTGACGTCATTGCGGATACTCCAAGAGGACGTGCGATAAAACACGACTGCTTTGTGGAGGCCCCTCAATTTAAGATGATTGAGCTTCCATCGCATTTTGATCCTAAGATGAAACAAATATGAATACAATGATACAAGCAGAAGTTTCAATAGAAACGATATCTTTTTAATAGACGTACCTGCAATGGATATGTTTTCGGGGTTGCTCTGATATGTGCGTTAGGTGGTCCAAGCCCACATAAGCGGGTAGTCAAGGCGACTACTGCCCAGTTTATCTTGGTTTTTTGTTTCCAGTTTGCAATTTACATCAGTTGAATTGTTTTCCAAAACAGAAATGATTATCGTTTATCAGCGAAAAGAAAAAATGATTCCATAGTAAACTTCTGTTTGGAATACTAGTATGATACGATAGATCGTCACACTAACAAGTATACCAGAAATGACGTGGGCGAAGGTCTGGAACGAGTATGACAAACATCTATGACCGATACCAGGGGCCCACTAAGCAACTTCCATGCCGTTTTGGCGTTTTCAACGATCAGTTTTTTAAATAGAACGATTTTGCTGCGAATTTATCCTGAATACATATATTAGTTCCACATAATAGTCTGCAAAAAATGGTATTTTAAACCTTTTAATGATTTTTGGTCTTATTTTTCGAATGCGATCACAGACGACAAAGAACGGCACCCATTTTTGTGGGGATAACATCTCTAAAATGTAAAAGGAAAAGGTTTAAATTCACTCCAACGAAAACAGTTAAAATCAAGGGAAAAAATAGATTGCTTCTCTCTCATATTTCACAAAAGCATAGTTTCTGATAAAATTTTGCGCATTTCAATCGCATTATTTCGCTGTTGACCGAAATTAGCAGCTAACTCTTAAACTGGAAAATAAAACAAAACTGAATGCAGGGCTGGTACTACGGCATTTAAAGGGCTGATTTATTATAACCCAATAGTTCGGCCAACAAAAGTAGCCTTCCTCAGGGCCAGAGTTATACCGGGAGAACAGCATCTCTTTAATCAGAGATCCAGTTTTTTCTTAAAGTGGGCTGCATGTTAACCTCTCAGGGGGTATTTAGAAAAGTTTTCCATGGGGAAGCTCCGCCTCTAGTTCTAACCCCTTACCCGGCCCTTTTAAATTTTATTTTAGGAGTCCATTTGACAGAAAACGTACGCCTCCTATTGAAAAATGAAACTGCCCTTTCATACTGACCTAGTTTAAGACTTTGCATCCCTTTTAATTTCCGATAAAAGCACTGTTTTTCTAAATAATTTTTATGAAAACATCGAACGTTTTCTCTACTTTTCACAGCCATAAAATACCTCCATTAGCCTTTTTGGGCCTTTTACAGACCGATGACAGATTTCCCTACTCTTTCTATACTTCACTTTGTTTCGAACAATCAACCTCTTTTCCAGGGGTTCTCGGATACTTCACTTTGCCACGAACAATCATCAACCTCTTTTCCAGGGTTCTCAGAGAGAACCCTGGGAACGAGGTTGTCGAACAGTCTAAATGGTTGACCTGTGGTTTAATTACGTCATCTTTCGCGTCTTGTCTGTTACCTTCAGGAAAGATAGCTCAACAGCAAACCAGCTCCCTTGTCAGACTTGTTGCGTTGAAGTGAGTTCTCTCGGTGACTTCAGTCTACGACCATGAGCGGGAGTTCGACAAGCTGGGCTGTTTTCTTACTTCTACTTTCGACAGTTTCTCCTATCAAAGGTTAGTAAGTGCGGCAAGGAAAAAATAGAATAGCACACGAACATCTCGTAAGTGCAGCGACAACCCTCACTGACCCGCGTTCTTTTTTTAATGACTGATATATATATTTTTTTATATTCAGTCTAACTAAGTGCCATTATTGTACCTACAACCAATTTAAATTGCGGGCCTACAGTAAAGCTTCAAACCTCGTAAACGCGGGCGGATATTCCTTGACATTCGACAACCTCGGAAACTTTTTGGATAAACAGACGGAGCTTTTCTGGTTCAGTCTATACGGGAATAACAGCTCGAATAAAACCTGATTTGCTTCAATTAATTGCGATAACGTCTGTAAAATAACGCCTTGAACAAGCAAACATTAGAACAAGCAAGGTAGTCCTTAATTTAATATCCAAATTTGAAGGCTTCCGGTTTTGCTCAGTTTGTTAAGTGACTGAGAAAATTTTGTCTCAGATGACGCATTGCGTCCATTGTACACAAAGTAATTTTATGATTTATTGATCATGAGGTTATCTAGGCTTCAGAGAGTGTCCAAAAGGGCTTTTTTCCCAATCGATTCAGGGTTAAATCTTTACAATACAATACTAAACAGAAAATACTCCTTACCAGGTAAGGAGTATTTTCTGTTTAGTAACCTAACACAAAACTTAAACGGTTTCGGTTTCCGAGAAATTACGCTGCTCGAGTGGTTTCTTGGAAAGCTTCCAAGCCTTTTCCAAAAATACCATAATACTTTTTGTCCGCCCTTTAAAATTTTGCATACGTAGACACCACTAAAAAGGACGCCTTAAAAAATGAGTAAAATGTCAAATTTAAAGTGATACCTCTTTAGCGAGCGAAGATATAGCTCCGATCCGCAAAGTTTCAAAAATTTACAGACGTATGTATGGTGGGAAGCCGGCAAACTTGCAACATTTCGCGACTTTTATGAGCTGTATCTTCATTACTTTTCAACAAATCACTTTCAAACTTGGCAATTTTACAGATTTTAAGGCGCCACTTTACAGTGGTGTCGACGGATTTTCCCGAACTTGTCTATAACAAAGTTGAAAAAACCGACTTACAACTGCCCCAAGAAAAATTGAAAACAATATAATACTTAAATGCAAATTTTTGGATAGACAACGAACAAAGGGTACATGTTTTGCCACCGAACATTCAGCGTTTGGAGGGTGCTGTTGTCGACTTGATTAATGTTTATACTCAACAAAATATTCTTTGCAAGAATTTTTAAACGTTAAAATAATTTCTGGAGGCAAGTGTGCTATTTCTGAGCGAGAAATATGCCCGAAAGTTGAGTAAAGTAAACTATGAGCGGATCGCGCTGATCAAAAACGTATAAACAACTTACCTTTGGCGCGACAGTTAGGAAAGTTCGCCTTAACGGCAACGATTATTCCTTTTCTCGGTCGAGTTAGATCATATCCTCGGAGATAGATATGCCGGTGCCTAACACTTCTCATGAAAGTGAGTAAACCGCCTGCATCTTAGTTTGTGATTTTAACTTCGTTTGACGTTATTATTTCCAATTTTTAATTTTTTTTTTATTCCTGAATACTTTTAGTCGCCCCTATAAACGTCAAGAAATCCAAAAACGACTGCACTGAAAACACTAGGTGTTTATGAGAGTTCATTGGCGCCGCACTCTTCAGAACCTCTTTCGGTTCCATTTCTTTTTTCTGTTGTTGTTGTTGTTGATTTCAATATTTCGGCTGCTTCAAATAAATAATTTGCCATTTTCATGTGTATTTCATAACCAGGAGAGGACAAAGAAAGAGAAAGCAAGTCATCCTGGTGCCTAAGTGACTATAAATTCGGTATAGTTGCAGGAGTAGGAGCTGTGGTCGCAGCTCCTTTTGCTCTCGTTGCTGCAGGATTCACCTCTGCAGGCGTAGCAGCGGGTTCGGTAGCTGCAGCTGTCCAATCTACAGTCTACGGCGCATCAGTTGGTTCTGGTACTGTTTTCGCAGTCCTCCAGAGTGCTGGAGCCGCCGGAATTGGTGGGGCGGCAAAAATGGCCATAGGTACCACTGTTGGGGCAGCGGCAACATATTTCAAAAGCAAGTTCTACTCATCATGTAACTCGGACGAAGAAAAGTGCACATCAAATGACAAGAAGTGAATTATACCTTCACTGCTGTGGATTTCGTTTGATTTTGTTTGTTTGTTTTGCTTACCAAAGTGCAGCAAGCTAAGACATGAGGCAAGGACTCTGGATCAATGTACTCATTTTCTCTTTTTGTTACGAACGTTATAACAAACAGATAAGACATAATATTTGAACAAAGTAAAACTTAATTCTGTGAAAGGTCCGAACCCAGTTGAAGGGGACTAGCTCCGGGTCGACTTCACAGAAAAGACACACGTACTCTGTTTGTTCAGCAAACTTTGTATTTCTTCTAAATCTTGAGCGTTGTTACAAGTCAACTTAATCTCACACTAGCTTGTACTATCATTCTCTGACAAAAGCCTGTTGTAGCTCCTTTTATCCTGACTGGACATGACAGGTGCCAATCCTAATCATTTGAAATTTAGTCTTACATCAGTAAAAACCTGATTGGTTGTAAGGAATTTTATCATATTTTCCTTCGAGGTTATGACGCAGTCCAAAAATCAACTTTGACTATAGAATTCACTAATTCCAGTTAATGTCCTGTCAAAACAAGATAGTCAGAGAGATATAAAGTTCACAAAGAATGTATTCGTATATATAAATCGCTGGTTCACACTATCGTTACTTCAAAAAGTACAACTAATCAACTTTTGTACATTGCACAAGTTGTCGTTTAAAGTCTTCTTGTAGGAATAATTAACAATACTAATTTGTCCTGCCTTTTCAATATATTAACTCAAAGTTGTTTACGAGTTTTGCAATAAAACTAATTAGCGTACAAATATAATTACACGGATTATCCAACAAAAGTGTTCTCTTGACAACCAGTCTCGAACAATTGCTATCCAACTACACTTAATGAATGACATGGCTTCTGTCACTAAAACGCAAGCCAACTCAAAAACTAAGATCTTGAAAACGTAGGAGAGTAATAAAAACAGTATGTTCCGGGCGAAACTTTGTTTTTCTGGGAAGACTTTGTCTGGTCAATTAAAAGCTTAAGTCAATTAAGGCCAACGGAACTTATCCTTTCACTGTTTTACCAGCGCGTCCAATTAATATGAACAAAAGACAGATTTTAACAAAAGATAAATCTTACTATTAAAGTCACTTTACGGCCGGAACTGCGTGCGTTTTCGAAATCTCTCAACCAAAACAAACAGATATAATCAACCTTGCACACTTTTGCGTAAATAGAATAACACTCAAAATAATTCAAAAACAGTGGCTGTTTTTGCGTACTTTAACAATTCACTGGAATGGAGAATCGAAGTAACCGTATGTAGTCTTTTATTTCGGGGCTGTTTGTCTCTTATTAACTAATACGTACACTCCACCCCTGAGACCCTACCGCTTTGTTGAAATACATTTTAGATATTAACATACTCTCAAATCATGTAGTGGTTCGTACAATATTGAAAAGCTCTTGAATCTTACCAGTTGTCTGGAAAAGTCCTTGAATTCCGTTTAGGTCCTTGAAAAGTACTTGATTTCTTTATTAGGTCTTGAAAAGTCCTTGAAATTCACAACCTTGTCTACGCCAGACAACTTTCTTCTGTAAAACTAGATTACTTTCCCAAGGCAGATTTGGCTCATCCTCGGTGTAAGAACCTGTAAAACTCTTGGGTAAGGTAAAATCATTTTTGTGCATGATTAATCCTGTTTCTTTGTTTGAAATGTTATTTCTCTGCTTGCAAGACATACCTTAAGTCATTTTGCCGCGTTTCGTTTTCGTTGTTTCGGAAACTAGCTAGTATAAGAGGGTGTGAATGGGGTTAACCGACTAGCGACAAAGGGCGAAAAATATTACTGACTACCGACAAAATGAGTAAAAAACTACCGACTACCGACAGGAAAAGTATTAACCGACTACCGACATGGGCTGATATTATCAATATTTGTTTCCAGAAAAAAGAACATTTTGTATTTAATATAACCGTTAGCTCGAGGAAGTAAGTAACCTCTTTAAATTTGTGACTTATCAGATGGTCTAAGGGAAAGAATTTCCTTTTTTTGTTGTTGATACAGGTACATTGCTACAGCCAATATCAAAATCACAAAGTCACACCTTAAAGATGCTACCGACTTTATAAATTTTATTGAACAGTCAAAGCTGAAAAAACCGAACGTTTTTTGCTTAGATTAATCCTTAAAGAAAATTCTTTCCCGTTTAATGTAAACAACTATCAGTACAAACCCACGTTACCGCGATGAGCACAAAGACAGCAGTTTCCTTTCCAACATTTTCATGGCACATATTGAAACACAAAGTTTAAGCAAAACCGTCTTTAAACCAACTGTTTGAAAACGCTACATAAATGACATTTTTTCCCTATGGGACATAAGTAAACCAGACATCGTAGCTTTCTTCGCGGAACAAGTAAACTTATATGCCCTCCTATGAAATTCACGGCCGAAAGATCTGAAAATGAGACATTCTTTTTAGAAACGGTTGTATACCAAGGTACAACATTCGGCGAAAAAATGAGAAAAAGCTATCCTTGACGTAAAGACGCATTTGAAACGGAAACCTTACAGTATATACATTTTCAACTCTTATCACCCACCAATTGTTAAAGCGCCTGTTTGACAAACGAGAAGCCTGAGAATCCTACGAACAAACTCCTCTGAGGAAGTATTGCAGATTTCAAAAGCGCTTGATGGACAGAGGCTAGCCACACAATTTTGAAAGAAAAATTGCTACTAGAAGTAAAACTCACAGAAAGGAAGGCAGCGCTCCTGAAAAAAGACAACCAGGAAGAAAAAGACTGAAATATTGCCTTTCGTGACACAATACCTGCCCTTAGTGTCTATAGAAAAGAAGCTTTAATGAAAAAGTGGAATCTCATACAAAACCAACCACTACCTTGCCAAAATTTTAAAGAACCACCTATTATTTCCTACAAGAAAGGAGTATCATGGCAAAGAACATGCTTGTTAGAACCAAAACATGAGAGGGATAGATGTGCAGCCTGTCATCCCTTGCAGTTTTTCAATAAAAATAATTTAAGTATCCAAAAGGCTAGAGTCCAGTAAGTAATTAATTAATTACTCTTTACTGTGCCCTGTAGTCGACAGGGAAACCAAGTTCGCATTTACAATAAAAGCTTTGGTGATTTTATCAGTACTAATTATTCATTATTCATTGGGGGAGTTATTAGAGTTATCATGGCGAGTGGGTGTGCAATTACCCGCTCCGTCGCATTTATATCTTTACTCTATTTCCTTCTACTGCTGCACCGTCAACGCAATATCAAACAAGAGGTAAATGTTTATGGATCGTTTTGGTTGAACTCAGAATCTACTACGACAAGCAATGCGTTTCTATGCGAGTTCTCTTTGGTTTTGGATGCCAAATTAAACCGACGCCATATTGTTTTTACCGACGGTAATTTGCCTCACCGAAGAAGATATCTCGCTCTCAAGATATGTTACTACAACAATTCTGACGCCAGTTATCAGCTACTGAGATTAGTGCTGAGTGGTGATACCGGAGTTTCTTTAAATCCTGGTCCCGCTGAATACACCTACAACGACGATGGTGAACAACCTACTCAAAGCTCGCAGTTTTCCATCCATGCTTGTAATGGTAATTCCTTCCTTGAGCTTCCATATAAATGCTTGAACATTTGCCATTACAATATTTGTTCATTGACAAACAAGCTCGACGAAATAAAGCTACTTTTATCCTCCTTTTCTAACCAACGTAAAGACAGACCTAACTTGATACTCGGAATTGCCGAAACGTTTCTAAACGACTCTTGGTCTGATGCTTCTCTTGCCGTGGAAAAATATACCTTGTCCCGCGCCGATAGATTGGCCAACAGAGGAGGTGGTCTACTTGTGTATGTTCCCACATATTTGCCTATATCAAGAAGGAGTGACCTCGAATTGCCTGGAATCGAAACAATTTGGCTTGAGCTTCGCTATCCAAGATCAAGACCGTGTTTATTTTCGTTTGTCTACCGACCTCCTTCTGCTGATGCTTCGTTCTTTGAGCGGATGGACTTGATGTTGACAAAGGTAGATTGTAAAAATTATCGGACTTGTCTATTAGGTGACTTTAATATCGACCTTTTTTCAAACTCTGCGTTACAAAAACGCTTTATTGCCCTAACTAAGGCCCATAGTTTTCATCAACTTATTACTGTTGCTACAAGACCGGTATCTGGAACACTTTTGGACCATGTTTTGGTTAATTATCGAGATAATGTTCTGAAATCAGGCACTCTATCGTTGACCCTAAGTGATCATCTTCCTATCTACGTGTCACTAAAATCTAGAGCCATTAAGCTACAACCTGAAGGACACAAACCTATGCTTTTTCGCTCAAAAAAGAATTTTTCTGTTGATACCTTTCTGGCCGATTTAGAATGTTTACCTTGGAGTACAATGGATATGTATTCTGAGCCTTATGAGGCTTTAAGTCATTGGTATTCTTTATTTAAGAGCGTGCTGGATTCCCACGCTCCTTTGAAAAAACGCCGTGTCAAGAGGGAATTCATACCTGAATGGTTCAACAGTGAAATTCAAGCCGCAATTGCCACGCGGAACCATTTGCATAGGAAAGCGATTCTGACAAACGATGCATTAAATTGGCGCGAGTATCGTTCAGCGCGTAATAGAGTGGTTCATCTTATTCGTTATGCTAAACGCTCCTTTTACCGAAATTCAATTAACAATAATCTTGAAAATCCTAAAAACCTCTGGCGCATTATTCGTTCTCTTGCGCCTTCTAAATGTTCCAAATTACCAAATCATTTAACCATTGACGGGATGAACTATCATGATTATTATGATATTGTCAACTTTTTTAACGAGCATTTCGCCAATATTTCTTCCTCTGTTCAGTTAAATCATGCTTCTGACCCACCTAACTGGGAGCGTATTGCCTATTACGTTGATTCCAAGCTGCCATCTGGAGTGTCCTATTGTATTCCCCCTATCCCTGAAAATTTTGTTAGAACTAGCCTCCAGCAGTTATCTACTAACAAGGCTGCTGGGCTGGACGAACTTAGTAGCTATTTTCTAAAAATAGCAGCCTCGTCTATTTCTCCATCTTTGACTGCTATTTTTAATCTCAGCATTTCTTCTGGTGTTTTCCCCGATCTTTGGAAAACTGCTAAAGTCTCTCCACTGCATAAAGACGGTTCGTTGTTTGACCGATCCAATTATCGCCCAATATCAGTTCTGGCTGTTGTCTCAAAAATTCTTGAGCGTCACGTGCACCAAACTTTTTACTACTTTCTTTCCCAACACGACCTGCTGCTGGATTCGCAATTTGGTTTCCGTAGTTCTCGTTCGTGTGAGCTTGCTATCGCCGATCTTTCTGATAACATTTTGACTAACATGGATAACAAACTCCTTAATGGGCTTTTGTTAGTTGACTTGAAGAAAGCTTTTGACCTTGTGGATCATGATAGGTTACTTAATAAACTTCGTATCTATGGTTGTTCCCACTCTACCATGGTTTGGTTTCGTTCTTATCTATCCGGGCGTTCCCAAAAAACCCAGTTTAGGGGCACTCTATCTGAAGCACTTCCAGTCTCTGTAGGTGTGCCGCAGGGAAGTATCCTGGGGCCACTTTTCTTTATTATTCAAATCAACGACTTGCCGTTAGAGCTACATTCAGACGTAACTTCAACTATGTTTGCGGATGATACTACTATTCTTGTTCGAGGGCCCTCTGTTACTTCCCTCAGCACTCAGTTGAATGAAGTTGCTAGAACTGTATCTACGTGGGCTGACAATAATCGAATGTCACTTAACACAACCAAAACTAAATCTTTACTTATTACGACCCTGCAGAAACGCCGTACTTTAACTAGCTCGGCACTCAATGTCCAAATCGGCTGTAGATCTATTGAGCAAGTGGACTATGCCAAGATGCTGGGCGTTATGATAGACAGTGACATGTCTTGGGAGCATCATATCGATACAATCTGCTGCATCATTAGCAGTAGGCTTTCTCTTCTCCGTCGCATCAAACCTTATCTTAACTTTAATTCTGCTTTAAGATTCTATAATTCTTGTGTTAACAACTACTTTATTTATTGTTCTGCTGCCTGGGGTAACTGTTCCCACCATCTCCTCTTACGACTGCTTCGTCTTCAGAAGCGTG